TTATAGAGATCATATACATTATACACATTATATACATATTATACGTTATTTTATATACATTATATACATTATATACATGATATACATTATATACATTATATACATTATATACATTATATACATTATATACATTATATACATTATATACATTATATACATTTTGTACATTATATACATCATACACCATATACATTATACACATTATACACATTATATACATTATACACATCATAGACATTATACACATTATATACAGGATATACATTATTTACATTATATACATCATACACATTATAAACATTTTTTACATTATACACATTATATACAGTACATTATATCCATTAGACACATTAGATACAGTACAGTAGATACATTATATACATTACATACATCATATACATTATAAACATTATTCACATTATACACACTATATACACTACATTATATACATTATATACAATATATACATTGTATACAATATATACATTATATACATTATATACAGTATATACAGTATATACAGTATTTACAGTATATGCAGTATGTACATTATTTACAGTATATACATTATCTACAGTATTTACATTATATACAGGATATACATGATATATCATTGACATATACATATACATAGTCTTAGTCATATACATATACATATACATAGTCTTAGACATACACATACACATTCACATGATGTTGTATTATATATAGAGGTTCTGATTTCCCCTCGTTGCTTGGCAACTCTTTACCTCTTGGATCCGAAGCTCAGGTGGGTCCTTTTGTGTTTCAGGGCCTGTTCGAGAAGCGGCAGGTGGAGGCGCCGATGCAGTCCTCATAATGTCCTTGTCTTTGTCATATGTCATAATCATCGGCTTAAGAAATGTAATTAAAATGTCATTAAACTGTCATTGAAACATCATTGGAGGCAGACCTTCTCTAGTATGGGCACTGCTGGAAGGTATCGCAAGAGTTCTCCGAATTTCTGGCAGACCGCGTGCGGGACCGCAGATCAAAATTCCTGATGTTCGTACAGGTTTCAAATTGTTTGGCAGACATGAATGAAAAATAATGAAAACATTGCAGGCCATACTGGGTAATGTTTGCAAGACTATAGATGACTCTTTGCCTGAAGGAAGACACACACACACACTTACACATCTTTCTTTTGCCATGTCTGGTTCGTCGCAGCAAGGGGCAATCCTGAACATTTCCTAGCATGTGCAAGGTTCTTACCTCACAGCGGCTGATTGATGAGATTGCCAATGGCAGCAACAGGGAAAAGTACCAGGCACAGGGCAGCACTTTTGGAAGCTGTTTCCGCAAATCTGTTGCAAACTGGTTCACCCTGTGGCTATATACTTCTGGCCACGCACATTCAAAGTGCATTGCCGGGTCGACTACAAGCAGGGAGACTACAACTGTTTGATCTTCTTTACTGCTGTGGTTTTCATAATTGTCTTGAAGACCGTTTGGCTGTTGGGTATGTTCTGTCCGTTTTACATCAGCAATGTGTGAGGCATTGGTGCGAAGGACGGTTCCAGCAATGGTGCGGAGCGCAGAGAAAGCACATGATTCAGGGACTGTTCTGTCAGCCCAGCGTCCATGCTGTAGATTGGCTAGCTTGTCACAAAGCAAGCGACTTTGTGTGACATGATGGAAATCCACTCGAAAGATTGAAAGACAGGGAAAGAAATTGACAGATAGTGAAATAGCGTGCGAGACCTGTGAGAATTTGCCACACTCAGCAACTTGCCAGTTTTACTTTCACCCAAAATTGGACCCAGGTGCCAGATCACGTTGTTGCAGCAGCTGCAGGTGCGCTAAAAAAGGCTTGGCAAGGGCTGGTGGGGATGATATGGACATGCCGCATGCCGGAGTTTGGCATCAGGTGGCTTTCACATCCTTTCACGGACGAATGTTGTTGATGGGTTGAAGCCTCACGTGGGCAGGTTGCTTTGGAGCCCAAGAGCCATCCAGTGCATGCCTACGTTGTTGGTGCCCCAGCTTGACATGGCTGACCTTGGAAGCAATCAAGAGGTGTCATCTCGGAACTCTTTGGAACTCTTTGGAGGCAATGAAACACTGGTGCCGGAATACAAACAGTCCGACTTTTCTTGACTAGTCTGGCCATGGTCATGTTTGGCACCGGTGGCCACTTCCTGTAGGACAAAGAGCTTCGTTTGCAAGACACGCTGGGCCGACTCGTTTTGTTGACTTCTTTTTTGTGCAGCGCGACTGGCGACTGGGCAGTCCCAATAGTATTTATGGCCCGATTCTGATCCAGTCTGAGTCTGGTTTGATAGTTTTGCAGATCCTTTTGAGGTGATTGAATCACAGTGAATCTGTTTCAATCCACTTCCACCCATTTTCTATCATAATTCATCATAATTCTGCCCCACCATCATGTCAAAACACATATATATATACATATTATATATATACATTATATATATATACACATATTATTTATATATATACATTATATATATACACATACATATTGTATATATATATATACATATTATATATATACATAATATTGAAGATATACTGAAGTCGTTTTTTTGCAGAGAGGTGTACTTTGCCAGGCTATTCCAAAGGCTCTGCAAGCTGTCCGCGCCAGAGTTTGAGAATCTGTTGCATCCCGTCTTCCAAGAGGCTTGCCTGGTTTGTGACCGCACTCGTGCGAAGACACCCTTCATACCCTTGCAATTATTTCATAATGATCGCCAGAATCAGATAAGATGGAAAGGAACAAAATCTGTCTCGAATTAGATATGATTGAAATTGATTGAATATTTTAAATCTTTCAAGCAAGCAAAATGACGGAATGGGCAACGATGCAAACTGCACTGGTGATTCCACCAGAATCTTGTCATTCCAGAGTCTTCTCAACAGATCGTTGTTTATTCGTTGTTTTGCGTCCTTTTGATCGTAGAACGTGTAGACCTTCTTGTCTTTCCAGAATGAGAAGAGATTCTCTCCATGAACGTATGCTGCATGGGTCTCGTGAAGACTATACTGACAAGATCTGACAAGCACTGAAAGTAGTCAGTTCAGTAGTTGCCAAATCTTTGTTGCTATGGAGGCCAGGATCCCCCATGAGAGTCTGTCTGAACGGTTTCCACGGTTTCGGACCCTTGGAAGGACGAGCTCACCCTTATTGTGGCGGGGGGAGTCTTGGGCGCTCTCGCGGGTTTCCTGCAGATGAGCCTCGGGTTGCTCGACAGAATGCGAGATCTGTGGCTTCGAAATTAAATGAGGGTCTTTGCACAGCCAGATCAGAATGACCTCAGTGGTCTAATGATGCAATCGCAATGAGAGGAACTTGCAATGGTTAATAAAAAAGACATCCTGTCATTGTGCAGAGTTCAAACATTTGCGTGACCACAAATTCAAAAATAAAGTTGGCATATGCACCTGTGCAGTCTTGTGCAGTCTTGTGCAGTCTTGTGTAGTCTTGTGCAAACAGCAACAGAAAGGCCCGCATTCTCAGTGGCTTACCAGGTGGGGTGGCCCCGCCGCCGAAGGCGCCGTGGCAAAGGCATTGCGCCTCAGTGCCGGTGCAGGCCGGGCGCCCTGTGAAGCCCCGCGAAGTTTTGAACTTCGTCAGAGCCTTTTAAACACAAAACACTTGTTCAATTTTGTTCACCTTTTTTTCTTCTTCATCTTTTTCTTTGTTCATTTTGTTCATTTTGCACACTTTGTTCACTTTGTATATTCTTTTTTGGTGTTATGTCAACTTTCAGTCTATGTTCTTTTGTTCGCTCGGTTTATTCGTGCTGTGAGCATTTCTCAAAGAAGGAAGAGCCAGGAAGAGAGGAAGTGATGCAACAGTTTGAACTGTATTTGACTTTGGGTCCCCAGTGGCAGGTGCTGGAGCAGCAGCTACAAAGATGGCGCTGCTCATACCCCCACAGGTTATTGGCGGCTTGGGCAGGCCCACGGATTCGTGTCCAATAGCAGTCCCAAAAGGCTTCCAACATAAGAGCACAAAACAAAGAAGACAGAAAGAATACAAAAGAAGACACAAGACAGTAAAATTGAATAATTGCTGGATCAACATCGAAAGATAGTAGGGTGAGTACTGTAGGGGGTGATAGCATCACAGCTTCTATGCAACAGAGCTTCATTCTGCTGTCACTCCGCCCACAGTTTAGGAAAGATTCTCCTGGATCCTATTGACAGCCTAGCTAATCTTAGGTCACCAACATCAACTATGTGCAAACTATCCTCAGTATTCCAGATGCATAAAGCTCCAATATGAACAAACTTATTTGCAGGCCTTTTAGATCTTTTAGTCACTTTAGTCGGTCAAGGACAACCCGAGCACAGAGTTTCCTCAAAACGGTCCGTCATGGTGTGCAGTTGATTGCAACATATTGCAACATACATGGCGACAGTCATGATTTGAATACCGCTGAGATCCACTGAGCATTATTAAATGATATTAAATTAATTTAAATTCTAAACGAAGTAGCAGCGTCTTCAATAGTCCAAAGGCACATCTGTAGCTTGGTTTGAAACCGGACCAGGTCCATACGCCGCGGTTTGCAGAGCTTCCGCCAGTGGTGGCGAGGCTCAAGGGGAGGATTGTAGAGAAGTAACAAGACCCTGGGCAGTGCTTTTGTATGCTTTTGTCTGATTCTCTGAGGCAAAGAAAGGGAAATCTGACGAATCGAATCGAATCGAATCGACGACTCGTGTCTTTTTCACTTTTTTTCAAATAAAAAGATGTCGAGGTTTGAATGCCTGTCCAGGCTCTCACTCGAACGACTTGAAGGTGCTTTTTGTAAAAGATGACTCTTTAAGCAAAGAGACACACCACATGCGTCATTCCCAACAACTTCACCATGTTTCAATTTCTTGTTTTGCAATTTTATTGAACAATTCCAATATATATATATATATAAAATTATATATATACAGTATATATCTAGGTACATGAACGAGGTGCAATGGCCCCAGCGAATTTTTTCTATTGCAAATACAAGAAGCCATTAAAGCCACCGCAGCAGAGCCAATTCCAGCCATGGCATCGGAAGCACCTGCAGAGCCTCAAAGGCACACTGTGCACCATGCAGCTTGGCTGTCGTCTTCCGTGTAGAGACTAGACATTTTCTATTTGATGCGTTGCCAAGAACACATTCTAGACCTAGCTTGGCCCGCATGACCAGGCGGACTCGTGACAAAGACATACAAAATGCCGGCGGAATCTGACCAACTCTGTCCCAAACACCTATCAGACATTCCGAGCCATGCTGAGAAGAAACTAGGTGAGCGTTAGCAAACGCGGTACCATCCTGGTGGCTTTCGCTCCATGTGAAAGCAGCGAAAGCGGCTTCGAACGCTTCGCAAAGAGCGAGGCCTTGGTGCCCTTTATGCGAGAAGCGCAGCTTGACGAAGTGGACTTGAAGTGGGCACCAAGGACTAAGTGTGACAAGCAATGCGTTTGGCATGCCTCTATGCAGATCGCCATGGATCATAATTGATCAACAGGATGGCACTCCAGCCATGACCCACCTGAAGACAAGAAAGATGCAAGTACTGTATCCAGGGAAAAAGCGAAGCAAATCAGGAACATGTTGATGATAATCCTTTCCACATGTCTACTGGCTCGATCTCTCATCTCAGCCATTTGTATTTGCACCTAAGGCTAGAGGTGGTGGAAACAGAGCTCAGCTTGACTTCCTACCACCTCCGTCTCTTGGCCTTTGTGACTTGCTTCACGGATACCTGGAAGACCTGTACCTGAGTTGTACCTGGATGCTCCACTGCCTTCCTTTAATACTCTTTAATGTCATGGACTTTGCAGGGGCTAGTCTTCGAAACTCTTCGAACTTCCTTCCAAACAACTTGAGACGCCTTGAGTGTGGAGATGGCAAAGTCCCTTGCAAAGGTGTTCTTCCATGGTCGGGTGTCACCAGTGATGAGAGCCTCGCTTTGCTTCTATTCGCCTCTGGCGCAGAGGCAAGCTGTGTGCTAGTGCGACAGTCCAACCTAGGACAAACAGGCATGGTACAAATGCAATCCAGCGCAAATGAATCAAGTTGGATCAATATGGTCCATAATGGTCCATGCAACTCAAGCCCAGGGATTCGCAAAGTTGCACAATTTTCAAAGCAACATGTAACATGGCGGTACATTTTTCCTTTATCCACTTGCAAACGCGTTGCAACCTGCAATCATGATGCATTTCGAAGGCTGCATGCTGCATGTATTGACACACTTTTCTTCGTGTCGTTCTACGTCTTTCACTGAAGTTGAAGGACCTTGAAAACGATGGAAAAGATATGACTAGCAGTACCGCAGAAGGATAATCAAAGGATAATCAAAGGATAATCAAGGACACAAGCTTCATGTTGATTCTCATGATGTCATGGATGTCAACGGAGCCCCAATGGAGGCAGTGGCCCAAAAAGGGGAGCAGATGGGCTTTGTTCTCTACGTGGCCGGGAGCAATGCTGTAGTCCGATATATCCCAGCCGCTCGCTTCATCTGATGATTTCACTGAGACTGCCGTAGCTAAGATTTTCCATTTTTTTTTCAGTCGGTTCGTTGGATTGGATCATGGTTCATGTAAGGTTCTCATGTGCAGCAGAAACAGAACTTTCATATTTCATCCCATATCTACTTAAGATTTAGGAACCACAGAAACCTATCGGCAAAGGTTTCAAAGACGGCAGACTTTGCCAATGAAGTGGATCTTTGCGGATCTTTGTGGATCTTTGTTTCGTTGCGCAGCGTTTTTTTGTTGAGGTGATCGGAAACCTCGATGACTTGGATGCCCCTATCTCTTATCAAGATGCTGAGGGCAAAGAGGTGCCAATGTCATGTCGATGTGTCAACGGTTGCAACGCTGGATGCAACGGTGAATGCAACGGTGAATGCAACGCTGAATGAAAGCATCAGGTCATACCAGTTTTTTTGGCTGTAGAGTAATGCACATAGCCTTTCGCGCTTCACTGGGTGTTGTACAATCAAAACCTCATGCAACTTCAAATGTCAAAGTACTTGATTTGACACCCACTGGCAAAGCGCATTCAGAATTTGTTCAAAAGCTTTGTGATATCCAACCATACAGATCATACAGGCAAGATCAGGCAAGTGTTTCCACCACTTTTCACATCTGAAAGTCTACGACTCTGTTCTGTATCACGCCGCATCACACCATGCCATACGGGTACCACAGCCATTGCAGCTGAAGGTTGAGGTTCCAGGTCTCACCTTGCGCAGTGTTTTGGTCCGTGGGGAGGACCCTGAGCTGTCAATGAAGTTTGTTGATGTTTGTTGGCTTCGTACGGTGCAAACATGTTCCAGGTCTAGCCATACTTATGGCCTCCGAAGTTGTTGTGCTTTCATTGCCTGGCAGATTGAAATTCGTTCAGCCTTTTATTGCGTTCAGTGAAGTGATCTTATTTTGCTGCTGTTGGACAATGGGATGCCAAAGCGAGAATTCCTCAGTGGAGATGCTCCTCAATGACAGGAGCCCGAAGCGCTTATACGCAGCAACTTGGATTTCCAAGGCCGTTCATGCCTCTTGTCTGCAGTTTTTAATCACTTGACTGTTCATCGAACAATCTTCTATGGACTGCTGCGCAATTCAAGGATGATACACACTTTTGTTCAAAAATGAAGCCGGGCGGATTACATTCTGCCAACCAACAGGCTCTGGGAGTTGGTGCTTTGTTATGCAAAAAAACATTTGGTGTAGATGCCTGTGCAAAAACCCTTGATGATGAAGCTGGAAAATATGAATGCATAGCTGGACTGATTTGGACGGATATTTTGCACAACTCATTTCCTTCTAAACTCAGAAATTAAGAAGACTAAATCAATCTAAATCATACTATATAGGCTACTAGGTTACATAATCATACTATACAAATCCATGTTGATTCGTTTGGTCAAAGCACGTTGTGCAGTTAGTGCTGCTAGTGCTGCCAGTGCCCAGGCTATGTGTTGGTCATGGCTCCGAATGCTCCCAGTGCTCAGAGCGCTGCAGCGAAGGGCGAGGTGGTCCGGCGTCAGGCCAGGTCCAGTCTACAAACGACAGACGGAAACTGGCGACAGACTGGAGGATAGCTCCAAGATGCTCCAAGATAGCATCAAATTGCATCACATAAAAGTCACTTTATGGTACAAGAGGGCAGTGCTGTAGCCAGCATTCATGTCAGGAAGAAGTCGTGAGTGGACACTTCTTTTCGATTGGTGTGGATTTGCTCCTATATTAATATTATATATATTTTTATATAATATTATGTTCATCCGTATTCATCCAATATCCTTCCTGAGGAATGGTTTGGTCCTGAACGGCCCAGTTTGGTACTCGGTAGCCACAATGTAAAAACAACTGGTGAGGTTTTGCTTCTAATTTTTGATGGTGCCGACATGTGCCGACGCATGTTCAGAGTATTTGGTTGTTACAAGGGCATCCATTCCGGCCTGACATCAAAATCATCCGAATTGTACCGAATCAAAGGCGGAGTTGAGTGACCCGGAGCTAGCAGCGCTTTGGCGCACCGCTGCGATGATGGCGGAAGACCATGGTGGCTTCGATGCTCGGCCGGTTCAGAGAGGTCCACATTCTACATAGTTGCAGACGTAGACTGCCGAGACAGAATGAGGACAATGATATGCATACATGCATCTCCACATATGTATAAGACAAGCACGCCTGCACACATATTACTCTGTAATATCTTTACTGTACATATCTAGATGTACATGTGAAAAGCATCAACTGGTGCTGTGAAACGCCTGCAGCTGAAAATTGTCACTTTATGATCTTTATGGATTTCTCATCAGAAAACAGATCAAGCAGCTGTCCTGGATTTATTTCTGAACCCACAGTTTTGTGTGCCTGATTCCAAGAGTTTAGACGTCAGTGTGCCAAGCCTTTGAGTGGCTGAGTACGTACCCCGGCACTCAGGAAGAGATGCACTTGAATGCGGGAAACTTTCAGAACGTGGCACACATGCATCTGAAGGTTTCATGCGGCTTCCTCGTGGCAGACGGACTCATGTCGTTTTGCAAACTGTACTCAGTTCACAAAGATCATGGACAGTGTTTCCCGACATTCAGAGTCAAGAAATCTCCTTTGTTCCAAGTGGTTTTTGTCTTCCTCCGTCGACTCACATTGCTGTGTTTTGTTTATTCCTTTTCGGGGTTATGCGGGATTCCACATGCAGGTTTGGATCCCTCGAGATTTATTCAGGAATTTGTGGGCAGAGCAGGCAAGAATCTCTGGGAACTTATATCAGACCCTCGATGTCACACAAAAAAGCGACCAAGATTGACCAAGTATAATGTATCTGACTGTATCTGCAGGATCGTCGAGCCATTGAATGTGAACTGGCTGCACGTTCTACATACGTTATACTTATCGGAATTTATCGGACCTATCTTTTGTAGCGGCTTTCTTCATTGGACATCCCCAACAGGTTGATTTTGTGCTCCTTGAAGCTCCAAGCCTCAGATCTTGGCTAGCCTTCTTGTTAGCCTTGGGTTTAACCTTGGTACTGGACTCGTAGGAGGTGTACGAAAAGCTCCAAGCTGCTAAACGTTGGCGAGACGATGCCTGTGACTCAGAGGGAAGGGAATTTTCCCTCAGTCGTTTGGGAAGATCCAAGAAAGGTTTAAACCTGTTTCCCTCATTTTTGGAATGACAAAAAGCAACCTGAAGTTTTTGCACCAAGAACAGATCATTCTTGAAATTCCGTCCGTTTTCAGGCTTGGATACGACAACAAGAAGAGAATGCCTCTTGGCCCAAGGTTTTTCTTTCGAGTCCTGCCAAAATGCAAATCAGTACAGGTCATCTATCAGAGGGAAGTGGTTCTCGTCGTCCGTAAAGTGCAGGTTTATATCAAAACTTATCAACATTTTGAGACTTCCATTTGCTGAGGAAATGGCTAAAGCCATTGCCATGTCGTTGGAGCAGTGATTCGTGAAAAGAATGACAAGGACAAGGACAAGAAGGCTTGTTAGTCGGAATATGCCCTTGTATATCTTGTTTGGTTTGCTTTTTGCATGTTTGAAATGATCCACTCCTGTTTCCCTTCGGCAAATCTAGCTGCCGCAGCAACCAATCCAGCGTACCAGTGCGGACAAATTTTCGCAGGCAGCTTCTATGAGGAGAAGCAAACGAACTGGTCGACCTGCAGGAAGATCCGTGTGGAGGTTGGAGGACGCATCATACACTGACTCAGAATAAGAAAAACATTGCATCAAATGAATATAAATGAATCATATGCTGGCATGCAAGATGACTGAAGCTCAGTTGAATCTGTAGATGATATTTCTGGTACGCGAGAAGAATGGGTCTGGGCGAGATAGACTGGACTGATGAGAAGATCACTAGCCGCTTCTCCACCTCATTCTGGGAATGTTCTCTGGAATCTCGTTGGATTCCTTGTATCTTTCGATGACAGGACGTCTCATTTAAAAAGCAGTCGAAGGACCTGATGCAAAGTGCAGATAGTGCTTGCATGCCAGCCGAGCTGTACGCGTTGAAGAAAAAACATGCTGCCGACGGGCTACCGATACAGAGTTTTGAAGTTTCCTCAAGCGCGTGCTTTAATCTTGCATCACCGTCATCAATGGAAGCTCACCCCCTGCACATTGCTGGAAATTGTTTGACATGCTGTGCTAGGCGATCAGCGGTGCTGTACGTGATAAACAATGGACATTTGAGTGATCGAAGGAGCTATGGCAGCTGTGGTTCACTTGATCCAAGTTGAACACTTATTTCAGGATATTTCAGATAGTTTCAGATTATTTCAAAGGAAGTGTTGGCCAGCCCTTCTATATGGGGTCACACGGGCTCATATTATGTAATAATGTGGAATCATATGGGCTCATGCGGATTGGAGGGACGCAACTTCTTTGGAGAAGTTCTAACCCAGCTTCACACTGGCAAGAGAAGCTGTCGGAAGCTCCCAAGCCTGAGAAAATTACGGAAGTGGCAGACGGACAAACGATGAGAAATGTCGCGAGACAGCAAGAATGGATTGAATGGACAAGAATTGAAATTTCCTTGCTGCAGCATCTTTGAATTTGTCCATCAGCCTATCAATTTTATGTGGCCAGCTGAGTTTGCCGCGAGCGTTTTTAGAGAACTCTTGCTGGTGATTGGCAGACGATGCTTTTGAAGGTGATACTTATGTTTTGATGAAAGAAGGTGTGCTGCTGACAGGGAACTGCTCGATGGGTGTCTCATTTTCCTTTTTCTTGCACGCGTCCTCCAGACTCCCTCAATGATCTTCATGGACTCAGTAAGGCTCCACCTTTGCATCCCGTAGCAGTTGTCTACAGTCGATCTTTAGGGCTTGGGACATGGATAGCCTACAGTAGGTTTGCCTGGATTTACAATCGTTGCATTGTTGCTTCAACCCGAGAAATAATGAGAAGCATATGCACTTCAACAGGAAGCTGCAGACCGACTACTCAAGTTCTTTGGTCTCCGCTTTGGCATCTGATGTCCGTTGTCCCTAAATCCATGGGGCCGAGCTGAGTATACAAATATGTACTGTACATCATAATATGTATATATATAATTATATATTATAATCATATGTATATGTATACGTATATGTATATGTGTATGTGTATATGTGTATGTATACGTATATGTATATGTGTATGTGTATATGTGTATGTATATGTATATGTATATGTACATGTATATGTATAGGTATATATATATATCTATTGCGTTCTATTGTTATATCCCTACAGTTCTCCAACACGCCGCTGTAATTGAGCCCAAGCATGTGCTCTACGCCCACCGGTGAATGGTGTTTCAGTGCTACCAGGTAACGGTGACACATGGTCGGCATTTGTAACAGCTTGGACATTCGATTCCAGTGTAAATTTGCACCACGAGGATTCCTCAGGGAAGCACATGGGAAGCAAGGCAGTATTGAACATAAGATTTGTTGTTATCTGTTGTCATTTGTTGTCGTTGTGTCGTATCGGTGGTCTGATCCCGACATGTATCCAAGACTCAGCTCTCACCATGGCTGGCGAGTGCAGCTGGACACCACGGCTTTGGCGTGTTTGTGGAGGTCAGGGCAAGGGTGGTATCTTGGTCCGCCGCGGAGCAGGCAGGGTATGGAAATCGGGGAGTGAAGCGGATAACAGGATAACCAATCGTCAGCAAAGGAACAGCAATCAACAGTCAACCAATGTGACATATATCAAAATACGAAGATGAGTCACACTTGAGTGAAGCACTGGAGCCAGGTTGTAGTTATTGACATAGAGAGCAAACAGCGACAGCTTGGATCAAGCCTTTCACTTTTCCTTTTGCAAATGTATGATATAAATGCATATATATATGTATATGGTATATATATATGTATGATACACATATATATATGTATATATACACATATATGTATATATATGTATATATATAATATGTATATATATGTATATTATATGTATATTATATGTGTATACATATATATATATATATTTATCGTTTTTTTTTAATCATTACTATTGTTGTTATTCTCAGACATTTATTGTACACATGTAATAATGCACAATGTAGTATAGGATGTATCTTGCTTCAGTGTGTTGTCATTTACAAATCACAATCAACGATTGTCAAGCATTGCTAGGTTGATTACAGGATCAGTACATGGCACTATTTGTCCTCATTGTGTGATTTAAACTTGATGATTGCACAGAGCCTTGGTTTCCACAACTGAACATTGGCCGAGCATTTGTTGGCCGAGCATTTGACACGTGAGTCAGGTCTCGAGTCCCTTGTCTACTCAGTTGCTTGGTCCGTCCAAAAAGCTGTCCCTGAAGTCATTTAAGGATAAGGGCTACTGACACAAGAGATGTGGTTCAGACATATATTTCAGATTTCAAAGTTTGGCGGTGTGCTTGCTACCTCAGCATTATTTTTTTGAAATAAGATGTAACGCCAGGAGATGAGTCAAGGCTGCGTGCACAAAGGTCTTTCTTGTGCAAGTTTGAATGCGTCAATCAAGTTATCATTTCGGGGCGAATTTGTAAGATTGTAGGCTGTCCACGCACGCGATCCCACTTGAGTAATGTGCTCCACTCTAGCTGCACTTCTCGTTTTCAGGACTAAGGCTCACTTGCGCGTTCAGGTTCAGCTTAACATTGTATTGCCAGATTGTTTCATAGGGCAAAGAACTCGATGAAGATCATGGAAATATATGGAAATGGTTTATCCTCGGACATGCCAGTTATTCAGTGTTTTTTTTTCTTTCTAAACTCGTTTGTTTGTTTTTATTGTGGTGTTTGAGGCACTGCAGCTAGTACTAAGATGTCCAGCAAGTACATGCCTGTGCCGAGTCGTTGTGAGGCTTACTGTATATAATATAATACATATCACATATGTAATTGAATATAACATGTATATATATATACATATCTGCGAGTTACTTGCTCTTTGAAAGTCAAATATGAAAAACCGAAAGCTTGACGTGCTGATTTCATTCCATGAAGCGCCAAGGACCGCTTGTCCACCAACGCAGTGGTTCGTGAGCTCCGCATGGAAGGTGCCAGGGATCTCGTTTTCATGTCATTAGATCCATGACATTGAGATGTTTTAAAAAAGAGCAAGACATATGAAGAACATTGAAGAAGTATTCTTATTTATTTCGTTTGATTTCTTGCAGGGCTTTGGTATTTTTTCGTCTCGCCCTCGAATGTACGGTAACTGAGGTGAATTGTGCTGACATGTGAAGAACTATGTTGACATGTGAATCTAGAATAGAAAGGACTTGGTTCAATAGAACTGCATCTCTTCCAACATTCCAAACAACTGATTTCATCCATGTGATTGTCCATGGAGTTGCAGCTTGTTGCACGCAACCCATGTAGAGGACATCGTCTACAGTACTGCTTAGTCGAAGGATTCGGTCCTCGAGAGGGCTGGGCATTTCGTCTGCGGAATGATCTGGAGATTTGTTGAAGATTTTTGACGATGTTGAAGATTCAGTTAGGAAGTTAGGATATTGAATTGCCAGGGCTGGGTGACAAACTGCGGTTTGCACCTGCTCATTGCTGGAATAGGAGAAGGGACAGAGGACATCCAAGCATCTTTGTGGCTGGAGTTTCATCAATTTCATTGCGTTGGAACTATGTTGATTGTGACAGGTCAAGGAGTAGTGCTTTTGCGAAGTAAAAACCCTCTCATTCCTCACGCCGCAGATATCTTTGTTCCAAAAAACTGAAATTCCTTTTTGCTCCTGTGGTGGGAGGCGATTTGCTAAGTGGGAAGTTTGTGGACGTATTTCTGCCACCACGGACGTTGATCTTGGAGAATGATGGAGATTGTGTCAGCGTCAATCCCTGCGATCGTTTTGCAAAGCCCTGAGTCGCCTCGTGACTGCTGCTGAAATGATGTGCTCAAGACTTGTGGCTGAGGTAAGTATCCGTATCAAAGATGCTGTTTTGCTTCTTCAAGAACCTCTAGCAGCAGAAAACACTGCGCCTTGGCACTGGGGCCAACTGGTTTGGAAAGCCTTAGTTTCTCAAGTCGTGCAACCACCTTTGCAATTGAAGTTGCAAGATGATGCGGGATGTAAGAACTTGTATTAGCGTTTTGCGAACGCATGCTTTGATACCTGGTTCGGAGGTTCTGAGGCTATGTGCGCTGATGTGGTGTTGCCCTCATGTGTTCTTCACCCTTTAGAACTGCAGAGTTCAACGCAAGTCAACATAGCTGGGTGCGTTTGTGTATGTGAAGTGTATGAAATTTAGGCTTCTTTAGCCACGTGTGATCCGGAACTGTTCTACTGTTGAAGGGAATGCACCAGCACTTCATGCCGCTTTCCAGTAGGGGTTGGAGCCCACAGTTTGGCAAAAAGTGAGCGGCTGTGGTAATGGGGGGGCGCGGTTTACTTGGTATTTGCTTTGGCTCTCAATGTTTCAGTTTTTCAAGTCTGCTGTGGCTATGTTTAATTGATGGAGACTTTTCACCGGATGATATGTCCCCAAAGCAAGTTATATCTATGTTGCTTGCAGCGATCAGCTATTATCTCGCGGACTTTGAAACACATCAAACCGCAAACGCAAGATGCAGCTAGACCAAGAATACAGTAGTAGGATGTGTCAAGAATACATATTCGGATTGTGGACAAATGGATGTGAACAGATGGCCCTCACTAGTACCGACCTCTCGGCGACTCTGATAAAAAATATGCCCTGCATCCCTTAAGGCTGTGAAAGCAGCTGCAGCGAGTTTTAAACCGCGCATCTATTCTTCGAAGGACCTCAACGGAAAGGCAGATCCTTGGTATATATCTATATAATATATATGTTTAAAGTTTATGCTTATGAATAATGTTTGTTCAATTTAATCCGACAACTATTTCATGCAACGTCATGATCCTTAATTCTTTATTTGGTAAATCAAATTGTAGAACCATTATATAGATGCACGTGAGCTTGAACAGCATCACCATGCGATCGATTTGACAGCCAGACAAACATTTGCACAATGTTGTACGATCCTGCAGTATCATTTTCAATATTGTCATGTGAGACAGCCTTGCAAGGAACTTGACACGTCATGGAGTCCTGTAGAGAAGGCGCTCTTCTACCAAAGTTCCTAGGCCTTGCAGCAATTAGTTGTTGTCCAGTTGCTGTCCTTGCATTGTGTGCTTTGTCAGCGCTTTGGCCATGCTTTGTTTGTGTTTTGTCTAAGGGTTTCGTTTGCATTTCGTTCTTGAGCTTTGATTGGTTTGCAAGTTAACTTGGAAGATGAGCATTCCTTTGCGACAGATGCTCTTACAGTTTGGAACAGATTCAACATGATTCAACATGATTCAACCATGTTCATTCGGAGGTTGTGGAAGATGGGCCACTTGGCTGCGTTGAGTCCACGGACTCCATGGATCAATTTTTGGGTGTAGCTGTTAGTTAGCCTCCTTTCTTCCCCCGAAAATATTTGAAAGTGCCTGCGATTGTCGGACATTGTCGGACCACATGATGAAAAACTATGTATATATACAAGATGAAAAACGAGGCAAATCCAAAACAGTCCGTGCTTTTTTTCGTCTCCAATCAGCTTTGAATTTGAGGATCCAGATCAGCTTCGAAGCCTTCGCGGCCCGGTGAAAGCTGCCGGGCCCTTGGTGCCGAAGCCAAAGAAGGTCTCTGTGCTGACGCCAACATCTCGAACACGGACGAAGCAACTTAGTAAAAAAATAGCAGAACTTTGGCTAAAAAAGATGATCTCCTGATTTTCAATCTTTGAGTTTGCCCTTTCTTCTCTTTCTTGCATTGCTTGGAAGGTTTTGCATGGTTTTGCTGCATCTAAAGTACTGGAGGATAAAGCCATTTTCTCAATCTGCGGAGGGACACGCCTTGCAGCGGTTTTGAAGCAACGTGAAAGCATGTCGAAGTGCCGTAGATTTGCGGAAAGCGACATCCATTTGAGCCTTTACTTTCGAGAATGGTGTGAGCCTTCGATGATGCCAAAAGATTTCGTGTACCCTGCTGATTTTTGAATCGTAGAGACATGTAGGGTTTTTTCTCCGTGTGACTCCCTATCTTTTACCTGGCAATTACTCGTAGCTGAGGTTTCACCAGCAGCTGTGGACATGTTCCTTGGATTTTGAAATGCCTTTTCTTCTTTTCCTTCGATGTTCCCAAGATATTGCTTTTTCAAAAGGGGATTTTCAGCTAACCATTTTGTTTTGTAGAATCCTGAGACAACCAACTGGCTAGCTGGCCGCTGCGATTCATGCATATTCATGCAATATTTTAGTGAATTTTAGTGATATAATTGAAAGCACTAGTTCTGAACTCTTATTTTGTGGAAGACACCCAGGTTTTAATTCCCAGTCCTGGACCGACAAAGAATTGGTCATCATCGACTCTGCGCAGGTGGGTAAAAAAAGTCAGTCATTTATCAATTTTCGAAACAAAGAGACCAAAAAGATCCAAAAACTGCGTTGATCAGAAGGTTTCTGTGCCTTGTAGTACCCCATAATAAAACCAAGGTCCATCAAATCATACTTACAGTATTGAATATTTGAGTCCCATTCCACATCGATCTTGGCTATTTTCATCGCCATTATTTTGAAGGGTTTCTAGATCAGTTGAAGTCCAAAAGCTGACACATTTCTGGATCTTGTTGAAGGGTACTATGATATGCTATGTGAGGCCCCATGTAGTTGCTTTGCAAAAAGCAAGTTTGTATTTCTTATCATTAGCATCTCTAGCCTAAAAACACTCTAACAGACTGCGGCCTCTCAGTGCAGAGCATTCGTTTTTTTTGTCGTGCAGCAACACAGCGCAGGGCAGTCCGTCCTCTTTCTTTTCAAGAATATGTCGCCAGCATCTCGCCAGTTCCGCTGTCATTACTGTCTTCGTCACCAACCTTTCAATGTTTAAGCGAAGTCTCCTGGGGGTTTACATCGTGACGATGAAGTTTCACCCCAGCTGGTAAATGGTACGTACGCCTTTTCAAATTGCAGACTGTCAACCTATTGCCTCACTAAATTAGACTGCAATGGCAATCATGTGGTGGAATATGGTGGAATTGATGACAGGTGGTTTGACCGGCAGTCATGATACCAGCAAGTACCAGGGATTTTAACAGTTTAGGCTACCGATTCTCCTTCATCCCTTCTGAGTCCTAGCTGATTTCGCATGCTCTGTTGCCCGCAGTCTGTCGTTGTTCACCTCTTCTAAGACTCGGGCAGCTGTAGTGGACCGACTTGTAGGTTTGATTCCGGTTTGATACGATTTGCATATGATTTGCTTGCCTACTTGCTTTGAGGTTTGAGAACGTTGTTTACGTTGGGAAACTTGTCTGGATTGGTAGGAAATCGGCTCTCAATTTCGACCAGCAGATTCTAAATGATGATCTTTGAAAATGCCGTTGTGGTCCTAGATGCGAAAACGGGGCAACACTAGCAAAGTCGGTGCTACGTGGCAATACTATGCAATACTTGGTGTGAATTGACAGAACATCAGTCCCTCAGACATAGGTATCCTCATCAACGCCAAAGTGAACAAATGTAGGCTGCAGTCAAAAAAGGAAAGTTCATCTAAGAAAACATGCAGTCAGAGCACACTTCTGAGGCTTGATGGCGACTTCAGCATTGGTTGCAAACGAAATCTGGGTGCCTACCTTGCATCAGGCTTGCCAGCGTACCGGCAGTGGTCGTTGAATCACATCGTGCAGATTTTGGTTGTCCAATGTAGGGCTCTTGATCCATTGTGCCAAGAACACACATTCTCTAACAGACTCTAACAACCAGGTGATGTGATTGTACACTTTGATGACGATGATGTCTACGGCCCATCCTACATTGCAACCTGCCAGCAGGAAGGCAAATCATACCCGTCATACCCACATATTTCTCAACAGCAGTTCAGATGTGCACTAATGCCACTCAACGTTAAAGCCTTGGAAGCTTTGGAACTTGCATTCCTAACTCTTGCGACATTTGCGCGAGTGCTGGGTGAGTATTGTCTGTGGTTCATCTGTATAGAGCCCATGCAGCTTCGGAAGTCCTTCAAGCTTGAAGACATATTGGCTTCCGTTCGATTCCCGTAATGCTAAATCAGAATCCCCCCTTTGTTGATTAGATTGGATTCGGCTTGGATGGTACGAAGACACAGGTCTTCAGGATCCTTTGATGCCATTGCTATCTAAAGCCAACTAAAGCCACGTCAATTTTATTGGCGACAAACCCAGAAGGCGAGCGCTGAGCACGGTCAATTAGATCAAAGACTTCCGTACCTCTCCGGCGAATACACTCTCAAAGGATCTGAGAAATCAAGACATACCGAGAGAGATCCGTAGATCCTCAGGCGTATGGAAAAGTGGAAGTTGTCTTCATGCTTGAATGAAAAAAACTGTTACTTGTAGGATCTTGTAGGATCTGTTAGGATTGTCAGCCATGGGCTACTTGCCACAAATAGACTAACAAGCGGCTTGCATCTCAGGCAAGCATGGTGGCTGAACTGGATCGTCGAAGCTCAACCAATACTTTGTAGAGGTGTTGAGAGCCGGAGACAGCTACGCATGCTACACTCGATTCAAGAAAGCTCTGCAATGATTTTCTGTCTACACTCTTCTTCTGGGCTAGCCCTCCATTGTTTGTGTCAGGGATGGAAGCTTGCACCGGTTTGTGATTTGGAAAGTTGCAAGGAAATTTGGTCGCGTTGACATTAAGCGCTTGGTATGATTTTGATCTTCGCCTCGGACGATGTGGATTTGTTGATCCTGAGGCGCAAATGCGTTTTGCAACATGGATTGGCCAATGATTGGCCTATCTGGCCTCAGATATAGTGCAGGATTATCACATTTATATACACTTATGTTTATAGTGAGATAGATTTGAGATACTGAATGATTTGAATGCGTATTGATGGGCATAAGTTAGAACAGCAAATTGTTCGGCACTGCAACGGGATGCTGCTTGACTTCTTGCCCTCAAAAGAAGTTTCCCAGAAATTACAAACATGTTCTCCGGAGCTTTCAGGACCACAATAAGAACGTGAATAAAAATAAGGAAATAACATGAAATAACTAAAACATCATGAATCATGATATATCATGATATATCATACTAATTACATAATCATAATTACATGATTACATAATGCATAATGATTCATATGTCAGCTAAAAAAGTGAGGGTGGAATCAGGTGGAATAGCAAACAAAACATATCAATGTATGCCAAGCCAAGATGTTTTCAGATCATGACTTGGCGTTCGAGTTCTCCAAAGTCCCGGCAGGCCCTTCATGATGTGGATCTCGTTGCTGCGAAAACAAGGCATCCGAAGATAAGGCAATTTCGTGATCCTGGGACGCGCAGTCTGTAGAGGGGTGTGGTGGATTGAGCCATGATATGTGAGCAAATAAATAGACATACCATCATATATGATACTCGTAACATCATAAAATCAACAACATCTAGAAAGATCCACCCGGTGTGCAAAAGCACAATGCAATGCACAGTTATCGACTTGAATGCAACATGCAATGAAGGTGCTTTGGGACCGCCAAACGCTGTTGCAGGTGTTAACATCTCCTGTGCAAGGATGATCCCCTTCCAGAACTTCCAGTGATTTCCATTGGACCATACCGTAGTACCACTCCAAGATAAGGGACACAGAGAAGCATGAGAAGCCACATGCTTCGACTATGTTTGACTCCCAATGTCAAATTAGGATAGCGGAGTGGAAGCAGCCATCTATGGCTATGGATTTTCATATGCCAGGGAAACCCAGCTCCGTATGGGGATGAGATGGATTTGGATGCCACAAGGGGGTGCGAGTTGGGAAGTTTGTGTCCTTTGTATAACTGTTCACTTGCTCAAGGTATTTCAAGGTGTCTCAAGGTGGTGTGATGTGAGCAATACTACGCTATACTACGCTGCTACACCAGAACTTGGACATACCCAGACTGCTTGGAGCAGCTAACTCTGCTGAGCCAAGGTGTATCTTCGCCGCGTGGCCATGTTCTATCCATTCACAGCGGCCTAGCAGAAATTGCGACAGATGACGACAGCCCCACAGCAGTCAAACTAAACATAACTAAACAACATTAGTTCTAATGCATTAAAATAAATTCAAGATGTAAGATGCTCGAAAAAATGCCAGCATTTGTATACATTTGTATTGTTGAAGCTATGAAGGCATGCCGCCTGAGGACACGAATATGTGCGAGGATGTAGACTTTTTCCTGCGCCTCAAGGAGGTCGTCCGCTGCTGTTGAAACCAGCTGTTTATACCACTAAGCCACATCCACTCGTGATTTAGATCAGATGAAGCAACTTTGCAAAAGTTCAGCCATTTTCAGCCAATTTGGAGGTCTATGACTATCAAGTTGGGCTAAAGCGCGACCAGGAGGCGCAGAGTTGTCCGGTATAGAGAGAGATGTACTCATCACCAACTCAACAATTCTCTAAGTTTGTGTTGCATACATAAACCGGTCCAAAAATGAATTAGGTAGTTTTGCAGTATATATATATATAGAAGCTGATCAATTTCAGAAATAGTTGTTGACGTGTCAGTGTATTTGTTCTCTTGGTAAGCTCTACTTTCATCTTCAAACTGCAGTGCAAACTTTCGCTGCAGTACAAACTTTCGTTGAAGCATCCTCCTGCAAGCCAACAGCAATCTCTGTAAGAATGTCAATCCCTGCAACTTGTCTCGTGTCACGACTCGTTTTGTTCCCTCTTGCGAAGGGGATGCAGGTGCATGTTTTCCCTTTCTTGTAGTACCATGATGTTTGGTTCATGATATTGGTAATTGGTACTGACCAGATTCTGCTGCCCAGGGACTCTGTCTTCACATCATGCATGGTGACAACACAGCAGACTCCATGTTGCATCGTGAAGTGCATGAAATTGCCACTTGGCTAGGCAGATTGGTGGCACATTGCCTTTGAGACAATTCACATATAGTGTCAGTTTTATCCACTTTGACTTTGGGTAATACTTGTAGTAATAGTTCATTTCAGCTGAGCGTTTGACCACATGATTCCTGCTAGCCTATGTGAATTTAAAGGTTGGATTTGCTTGGCCAACTGTAGGGCAACTCTGGGACGATCGTCCAAGCCAACGTGTCTAGGAATCATGTGTAGTCTACGGGTGCAGTGGGCACTGAGGGCACTTGCCCAAATGTAGCAGAAAGCCATTTGCAGGTATGGCTTTGGTTAGTGTTCTATCCATAGTTCTGAATAGACCCGGGGTTTATGGTGGACGTGCAAGTCTTGGCATGTCCGGTTGACTTTTTGCTTTTCCGATTCCAGCGCAAGATGCAGTTTCTCAGGCTAAACTCCACGTTTGCGAGTTAAACTTGCCCTTCTTGGCAAAGATGGAGGGAGAAACTGCATCCAAGTTGACGGGCGAGGACACCTCACTGGATCGATGCTATTCTCAAAATTTCTCAAAAGCATGAGAAAAATGAAAAAAACATGTGCCCATTGTGCTCTACCCTACCCTTGAGCGAAGTGAATTTGGATTGATGTATGATCTCACTGAAGGAGCACCACGTGCGGCTATCGAGTACAACAGGTCGGTTCTTTGTGAAAGCAGACAGCGAGCAGCGGATGCGCGCCTTCCAAGCTGTCATCCAGGACGAGGTGCAGAGTCTCGGGCAATGTGCTAATAAGATCAATAAGATCTAATAGGTATATTTCAATCCCCCTGGGAATTTCTTCGAAGAAATCGGACAACCGGAGTTGTCCCTAAGAATGATTTTTTCTGGGGTAGAGAAGTGGTTTTTGCCACATGGCTTACCCGGACTCTATTGTTTTTGGAAGGGCATCCTGGGTCATTATTTTTTAGAGAGGGCATTTTGAGAGTCACTTTGGATATGGTGTTTTAGGGTTGGTGACATCCACGTGGCTAGCACGGAGTCCCAATTCTTTAGAGATTTGCTTTTGTAATCTTTTGTATTTGTAGTTTTTTGTGTTTTTTGTAATTGGTTTGGGTCAGACACCGACGCATCCTAGGTAGCGATTTTTTAGATGTGCCATTTCAGTGGTTCAAGGTGGACTGCCGTTTTTTGTCTACAAAATATATAGAGAGTCCGTGTGAGCATGCGAATTCCCAGAGGGATATATTTCATCTATGATATCTATGTACATCTATATTTACATCAATCTATGCAAGTCTATATAGAATTACAATATATTGCAGTCCTGTTTACTGTAGATAGCAGTTCCTGTAGCATCTCAGGCACTAGAGGCATTTCAACTTGATTGTTCGTGATCAGCCCGGGGCACGTTTCGAGACAGCCTTGCTGCAGGTGAGTTTTGCAGCACAATGCCTGGTGCTTTGGCAAAGATGGGGAAAGAACGCACATCAGTATTCGCTTCAGAACGGTGTGTTGATGTAGATGGGAATTCATGAACAATTCATGAATGAAGAACTTTGCTGGATCATTCGAGGCGTCTGAGTACGTGTGAACAAATGACGAGACACTGAGACATTTATTTTGTAAAACCAAGGAACGTGGAGTATCCCTGGACGAAATAAACAAACATAACTGCACATGGTAATCTTGAAAAAAAACAATTACATTATCACCACCCTTTTCGTGGGGTGTAAGCATAGGGGACGTTCAAAAAATGTAAGCAACAATTTTGACCCCTTCGTATTTTTTCCCCATGGGGAAAGCTATATGCATGTTAGACCCCCCCCACGTCAAAAACCGACTGTGGTGTCTCTGTGTAAGGCGCGGGTCTAAGGCACGTCTTTTGTCAAGGCGCGCCGTAAAACGGTAAAACCATGTAAAACCGTAAAATGGTAAATTCCATTGTTCCCGAGAAACGCCCCATAAAACGGTAAATTCGTAAATTCACGATTTGAGCGTGCCGCTTTCGGAGCATAAAACCGTAAATTTGGGAAATTTGTAAAATTTACCATAAATAAAATTTACATAAATTTACCGTAAAACCGTAAATTGGTAGAATTAGATTAACATTTACAGATTTACCGATATTTACCTTTGCCCGGACAGAACAAAATTTACTACTTTACCGATTTACCCAATTTACCATGACCTGAAGAGCGGTGAAATTTACCAATTTACCGATTTACCAAATTTACCGCATGAAATCGAAGTTAAGCCGCAAATTGGTAAATTTATGTTCTGTGTGCAAAGTGTGGGCAGGAAAAGGTAGTTTTTTTTTTTTCAAACGAGCAAAATGAGCTCCCGAAGCGCAGAAACGAAGCGGATGTTGCAAGCCAGATTCGCTTGCATCTGCGTAGTGAAAGTTTTACACAAGAATAAAAAAAAAAACTGAAGCACCGTGCTTTCCAACAGAAGAGATTACCAAACGAAGTACCTCGAGAGGCCGAAGCCTTGGCAAGTCAATACCGTTAGAATGCTCTGAGAATAGCATGTTCTTTGACTTGCCGTAAGGAAAAGGTAGTAAAGGCGTAAAAACGTAAAACCATAAAGGAGGTGCGGAAGCGAAGGAAACCAAAATAAAACCGTAAACTGGTAAATTTATTTTTTTTCGTGGATAGCACTATAACTCGAAAAGCGGCGAAATTTACCAATTTACCGATTTACCAAATTTAC